GTGTGTGTGTGTGTGTGTGTGTGTGAGAGAGAGGAAGTGATGGGTTGTGTTGTTCAGTGGCTCAGCTCCCAATACACGTCAGCCCTTTGCTCGTGTTCATCATTGTGCCAGTGTGTTCAGGTGTTCCCTTACCTCCACATCTGTTCATCCAAATGAGAGAGAGAGAGAGAGAGCGGAGGAGGAGGAGGAGGAGGAGGAGGAAGGCCTTTTCCCTCAGGGGAAAAAAAACACACTCATAAATGAGAAAAGATACTTTTGAAAAAAGGATATTTTTCTCCTGTTCGGTCACAGAGAAGAGTGTACATTTCTAAGTTAATTGAAAATGATGAATAAAAAAACTTGTTCTCTATATGAATGGCTGTATGTTAACCAGGAACAAAAAGTAATGAGTTCTATGACAAAGACATATAATAAATTAATTTTAAAATTTTATCACCACTGTGTGTGTGTGTTTCTGTTTCAGCTGATGTGTGCAGATGTTACTCGATTGCGGTGATTTGCATCATCCATGCATCACCTCACTAGAGGGCAGCACTGCAGCGTTCATGATTGCAGCTCATTAGGACGCATCACTCGGCTTCACGTTGATCCAGATTGACGGCGTTCAGATGCTCCTGATGCACAGAGACGTGTTTTACACTGAATAATAAAATGCTCACTTACAAAACGCCAGCTTGAGTGTGAAACTCAAAGTTTGATTGAAAGCACGTGTTGTGTTTCAGCAGCTCTCTTTTAATCATAACCACGTTAACCTGTTAAGAGGAATGCTGGGTAAATGTGTGTTCGGCCTCCATTTAACCTTCAGGGGTTTTTTTTAGTTCCCTGTTAACTTGACGTTCGCTGAAAAATCAACCACAATTCCTTTGTTGGAAAAAAGTGGTTGGACTCAAAGTGTGTCAGTAAATTTGAAGTCATTTTATAAAACCACATTGAAATTCACTCTGCTGCACGATGTAATGGGCTCTTTGTTCGTCCAGGCTCGACAGCCTCTTCACAATCAATCAAGCTGCACACTCGTAAATATCAGTCGCCTAAAATGAGCCAGATTCTTTTGTTGATTGTGATTATTCCCTGAGGGAAATCGTGCAGATCTCTGAAAGTGAAAGAAGATTCCTGTGTGGATCCATTAAATCTTAGTGTGGATGAGGATCAATAATCCGCTCAGTGGTTTTTGTGTAATCCTGCTGAAAATGAAACAAAGAAATGGACGTGGTGAAAACAACGTGTGGACGAAGTGACGACGACCTTGACAACACGTCCACAAGTTAAATTATTAAAGCAGAACCTATTCAACTGTACTTAAAGTAATGATTTGACATTTTGGTGTTTTAGATTTGTTGATGAGAGTTGGACGATGTGCATCAATGTCACATCTGTCTGTTAAACATTAAGCTCCTGAAGTTAGTTTGTTTTTTGCTTTGGAAAAAGACATGAAACTTCATGAGCCTTGAAAGTTTTTCTCACATTAAACCAAACCACAGCTTGTCAAGGATTCAAATTTATAAAACATCATCAAACTTCCCATCCAACATATTCCTTGATATTTTTCTGCAATTACCAGAACGACGTACATTTAATAAACTGGTGCAGCTGCCAGATGTTTAATAACCACTAAAGTGAACATGTTCAAATTGACCCGAGGAGACTGTTAAACTCCAGGAACACACGTGCACTATGACTGTGACTGTGCTGAAACCACGCAGAGTCACCAGAACGAACCTCGTTACAAGTAAAGTGTGAAACACTGAAACGCACTAACTTCAAATGGAGCCACACCGTCTTTCCACGACGCGTCTGATTCTCCACTTAAAGTCCGATTCAGGTGCCAGACGAGCCGCAGGCGACCAGGGTGTCGCAGCCCCGAGAGAATGTCATGCTCTTGTTTTTCTGAGTCTGAAGCTGAGACAATGAGTCAGAGACAAAAGCTCTTTAACTATCGGAGGACACGTCGAGGAAAGAGGCAAACAGCTGCGTGCACTGTACGCACATGAAATATACATGCAGCTGGAGAGGAGCATGAACATGCACGCCGGCAAAAGCAGATGTGAATATTAGAGCTGCAGGAAAAACCATGACAACTGTAATTCAGTGCAGGAGACTGGTTGTGTTCATGTCCCATTAGTGGAGAGCACTAAGAATAGTTCATATCCCAGCGACGCCTCAGCAGATGGTCACAAAATGTGCTGTGAATATTCACGACGGCCACAGGCTCGTTTTTAATCATTTTGTCGACCACGAAACAAAGATTTGTTCTTAAAAGACACTCGAGTCTGTACGAAGCCGAATCTCCAGGAATCTGCGGAGAAAAGGGCCGAACCCAGAATGTGTCCCCGACCACAGGCCGTAAATAAACATGGACGACACAGCAGCACTGAAAAAAAGTGAAGCCAAAGCGTCTCCATCACCAACCGGTCCCTGGCTGCGGTCGTAAACCCTGTCTCCTCCATGTTAGTGGAAGGGACAGGGACTAAATTGTCACTGATGTGTGTCCAAGTGTTAATTAGTCTGCATCCTTCAGATTGGAGAAGTGCCTTCGGTCTCTGTAGGTTTCATGCAGCAGGTTGTTTACACATGATTACAGTTACTATGACAACGTAAATCACATGCTCGATTGAACGCGGGACAGATTAATGAAAATGAATTTACGCACAGGTGGAGAAATGAGACGAGGCACTTGTTGGATAAGTAAGCATTTGAAGAAACGCTCGCTGCATTTCATTTTTCACGTTTCACCTGCAGGTGAAGACCGCGGACAGAAGGTGGACGACATCACCGCTCCTCTAAACTGAAGCCTTAAGCAGCTTGACCGCCACCTGGTGGCTGGCTGCGGTATAGATTACAAATCCTGCCTCTGTGTTAATGGATGGGACTTGGGCCAAAAAGTACACGTCAGATAAATATTTCTTAAAGATGGTTTCTGTACTTTCACTTTGCTCTTCTCACACTGATCTAACATTTCTGTTAAGTTTGGTTTCAATTATTTGATGCTATGAAAACAGGGTGAAACTTCATGATTGACAGCTGATGCCAACTCGTGATTGGTCGAGCATGTCTACCATATTTTAGCGCATATCTCAACACACTTCACTGTGCGTTTCTTCTTGAGTCCAGAGGCAACTTCTTCAGGTCCCAGTGCTCCTCAGAAAATCACCGGGTTCCTTCAGACTCTGTAATTTTCAACCAAAAATAAATAAATAAGTGGAGGCCGGCAGCAGGTCACTGGGCAGTGTGGTGTGGCAGCTCTGACAGAGCAGCTCAGGATATGGAGCAGCCACTGGATTATTTTAATTTCCAGAGGGACTTTCACTTGACAGATTATAAAATCGAAAACACAGCTGGATGATGTAAATAAAAACAGCAGCACCCTCCTGTGTTTTATATTTTTTTGTGTCAAACCACATCCTAATTTGTTGAAGCACAAATATCCTCCTCTGAGCCACACACTCTGCAGCACACACACACACATGTAGAGATGTTTCCATCGACCGGAAGAATCAGCTCACGCTCTCTCAGCTCCGCACCGACACCGTGCAGGGAGCAGATAAGAGCTCTGACTCGGGGCCAGTGTTCAGGCGTCGGCGTGTTGTTCTGCAGCCCAGAGAGAAGCATCAGGGATCAGAGGAGACGTCTCATCCGTCTCCTCGAGGATTCGTCCTGTCAGCTGCATTCTCTGGCTCAGAAAACCAAACGACTAAATCAGCCTCTGATGGGAAGGTAAGTCAAAGTGAAGGGGGGGTTGTTTTGTTTCTGGCGATACATCTGCCTGCGGAGACATCCTGCACAAGACCATGGCCTTGTTTTTACTTTCCAGATATAATGAGTGTGCAGTGTTGCTGAACAGACGCAGGTAAAATACTACGTCTTAATATTCAGTGCTTCTCAGGAAAATGTTTACTGACGCTGTAAATTAAGTCATTTTCTCATCGGCTTCTACCAAAACTTCTTATATTACCGGTGGAGTCACCCTCTGCTGGTCAATTGAGAGAATACAGGTTCCAGGGGTGTTTTTATATCCGGGCTTTGTCTTTCTCATTGTTACCTTTCACCAATACTCAAAACTAATCTGGACAGATTGTTGTCATGTTGTGGATTTAATTCCTGAAGCCCCTCGTCGGTCAGGATGTTTTCGGGGCCGGTGCTGGTAGAAGCTGTTTGGAGCCGACAGTCTGCACCGGTTTGGGATCTGGTTACGATTCGGCTCAGTGTCCAAGTTTGCTCAGGCTTTAAAAAATTTCTTCCAGCTCCAGTTTTTTTATTATTACCCCAAACTGTAGCTTTTGTTTCAACAGCTTCTTCATTATCTCGCCTCTAAGACGTTCCTCTGGAGAAGAGAATAAACTAGAGTCTCATTAGAATCCAATAACTCCAGAGATCCCTGCCTGTCTTCATGTCAATAAAGTCCATAGTTAAGATGTGTATATAGTATAAAAGACTTAAACTATACATAGTTAAAATATATATACATATATATATATATATATATATGACTAGAAACAGGTTCCTCTTTAAAAGGCTCCGTTACTTTAAGAACAAACTTTTTATAGTTTGGTTGAAGAGGAGGCGACACACACTAACTAACCCCAGGTGTGTCATTCATCTGATTGGTCCGTTCAGAGGGTGCTTTCATTTCTCACAACATGATTGGTTGAGGGGCGGGACTAACGGAGGAGAGGGAAAGTGTAAAGAACTTTCCTGATGTGTTCGAGTCCTGCTAACTGAGCTAACAGCTACTGCAGTTCTGTGGAGCGTGTTTTGACTGTTTTACAGCTTTTAAGAAGCTAAACACAGTTAGCATCGCTGCTAGTGCGGAGCTACCGGTGCTATCATCCGGCTCCGAGGGACACCTCCAGATGTTCTTCTTCGTGGGGGACACAACTTTCTGCTGTCCAGTGTCTGAGACCACGTGGGGACAAAGTGAAGAGACGTGGGTGAGTCACACACACACACACACACACACACACACACACACATTTATATTTACATTTAGATGACACAGATTCAGAACAACCACTCGACACGGTGTCTTAATATAAAGAAACTAAGAGATAATCAACGTCATCAACAGATAATCCTCGACTGACTGATACCAACAAATCTACTTGTCAGTTGTTGAGCGTGAGCGGATTTCTGTCCTCCACTGACCGGCCTTCTGGCCCCGAGACAATATTTCACCTCGCTTGCACGGACCTGAATCTGCTCGTCTTTGCTCGACCTTCACGGCGAGATGAAATAAAGCCAGCAGAGCGTGGAGCGGTGTCTGCCAGTGCCACGTACGTCCTCCCCCTCCACGAGGTTCGATTCCGCCTGCAGCAGCAGCAGCAGCAGCAGCGCTCTCCTGAGGCCGTTACCCAATTATTAGGTGGTGAAGCTTTTACAGGGGAAACACAGAACAGTGAATGATGAAGGACAAACAGAGACACTTTAATATAAGAGTGAAAAAAGCAAAGAGAGGGAGTTGAAATGTGTCGTCCCTGTGATTGTTAAATTTCATCTACAGTAATTAAAATCCAAGTTGTAATTGTGGTTTAAATAGAAAAGTCAGAATTTTTGTGGCTGGAGGCATAATGTTTTCAGGTTGTCCGTCCGTCCCGTGAACACGAGATCTCAAGAATTCCTCAAGGGAATTTCTTTAAATTTGGCATCGGCTCTTATCCCCACTCTTTTCTTTTTCTTTAATCCTTTTTTTCGTCTGCTGCTGTCAGAAATGTCGTCAACATCAACACTGACTCACAGTCGGTCCTGCAGAGGCTCTCCTGCTGTGCTCTCACATCAGGGGGGCCAGCTGGAGAAAGTCGAGAACCCGCTGAGGGTCTCTGGAGCTCAGTGCGTGTCTGACGGCTGCTTGACTGATAAAAGAAGTCGCATCAAGGATAAACGATAACGTCACCTGCATCTGAGAACGAGCCTCTAATTATACGAGTCTCCACAAATCAGCTGGTGAATCAGACCATGCAAACGTGACTTCAGTTCTCCGACCGACCCAACGTTGTGTTTGATTTCCTTTAAAGACTCACGCACCTTTTTTTCGGTGCCTGCTGCGTCTTTTTCCGTCTTTGCTAACCTTGTGCACCGACACGCCAAGAAACAATCAGTGTCGACTACTGCAATGTGATGCCAACATAAATGACCTCAGTGTGTCTCCATTAGCTAACACACACACGCACACACACAGTCTGCAGCTGTAGAAATGCTGTTGCTTACATTGGAGGTTATATAAAAGCTTCATTGGCTCTCTCTCTCTCTCTCTCTCTCTCTGTCTCTCTCTCTCTCTCTCTCTCTGGTGCCGTCCCGTCGTCTCTGTTTATGCAGCAGTGCCAGAGTGCAGATCCAGAAACCGTAGATTTTAAACATTCATATCTTTGTGGATTCTCTGCTTTAAAGAAATGTTATTTTGTGAGTTGATGAAATTGTCAGGGATCAGTTTTTCTTTCACCATCTGTCAAGCACATTTTTACATAACTTACGCTTTTCTTCTTTCCCCTAAACTTCCCTTCGTCTGCTCCTACCTGTTTCCCTCCTCTCTGTGTCCTCCCCTCAGTGCTGTCTTCCTCTGACGAGTGTGGTCAGAGGTCACGTGGACGTAATTAAGAGAGCGCTGCCTCAGAACTCAGCGCCGCTTCCTGTTTCTAATCTGCGAGAAAACAGGTTTCTGTTCAGTCGGCCCTCAGAACAACTGTCGGCCTCGAGGCTCGGCCTTCAAACTCCCCCCCAACCTAAATTAAACAACTTTTAAACTGTCTTCATAGTCTCATAACATCCAGTTTTCATTACCATCCCCCCGCCCCCCAATCTCCCCTCTGCATCAGTTACATAAGTGCGGAGCTGGAGTGCAGGAGGCCTCACAAAGCTGCGCTGATACTGTCTCTCTCTGCTGAGCTGTAAAGCTTGTGAACCCAGACAAACGGTGTTAAGATGTTAGTTTTGGTTCTTTAACTTCTTCTGCTCTGTTTTCAACTTGCACCTCCTCCTGGCTCCTGTTAACCAGGTTTAGTCTCCAGGTTTCTCCTGTAGGTCTGTGAGTGTAAAGGGAGGTGGGCTTTAGTTTCGTGAGAACCACGTTCGAGAAGAAGACAAATGCACGACCCTTGAACTGTAGAGTAGAAAATGATCCGTCAGCGTCTACATCTGTATTTTTACTTCACGTATCTTTAAATGCTTCGTGTCAATAAGCTTTTATAGGTCAATAAAACAAAATAAAAGATAAAATTACTGAAATTGTATAAAATAAATTTGAAAAATTATGTTTTTTCAACATAGAGACTTTATCTTCCAGCGTTAAACAGTGTGTAACTGTCTGCTTGTTGGTTTTGTTTGTGTTTAACAGTGTTTAACGCTCAGCGGGGATAATTACACGTGATTTTACACCACTTGATTGTTTATTGTTTATTTGGATGAAGTGAAACTGCCTCATCTGTCCACTGGTTTTCATCGTTCCTGTAAAAGTCAAATTAAATGAGCTGGTTGTTGCAACTGACTGTGAGGGTAAGTGTGTGCAGTTATTTTTAATGGGTAACAAAGTGAGCGTGAATACAGTTTGTGTAACGTGTATGAGCTGCAAACTTTCTGTGAGTGATAATTAATACGGTAAATTTTGATTTATTCATCACCCGGGTTTGGTCATAAAGCATTTTTACCTGTGAGGTTATGTCTTCACCTCTGGGTTGTGTGCAAGATTACACAAAAACAAGAAGACAGGTTTCCACAAAGGATGTGGTATGGGTCCGGAAAGGTACCATTAAAATGTGGTGCCGCTTCCGAGCAGGGAGTGGATCCAGGAACGTTTCCCATGCTTTAATTTCTCAGGGAATAATTCATGGATCTTGATGAAACAGGGCACTGTTCTCTGCTGAGTGTGATTCTAGTTTTTAAATCAATGTTCAAATGACAAAACTAAGTCAGACTAACCTGAACTAGGCCAAACGAAAAGAATCATTTCATTTGACCTACTTGCGTATACATATTAAAGTGAACTAAATCAGCCAGTGCTCATTTTAACTAACATCTCGCCTACTGTGCATGTTGGAACAGCCTCCGCTAGCCTGAGCTGATGATCCAGGAAACTGTTCAGTTCTGTCCTGCTTTGTTTCCCTGCAGAGTTTCTCAGATCTCCACTCAGAGCTTAAAGTATTTATAACACTGCAGTCTGCTTTCCCTCCAGCACAAACTCCCCGAGGACAGTATTACAGCTAATGGGAGAGATATGGCCCAACAGATGGAGCTGGCTCTCTGCAGAGGCCCGTCCGCTGACTCCAAAAATTTGGGGATTTATTTTTCTCTGTTTGTATATTGCTGCCAGTTTTGAAGGTTAAATCACAAAAAAACATTTCCCGTCAGAGTGGCTCAATTGTGAGCCAACTCCTAAACTGTGTGGTGTGACAATAGTGACGCTTTAATGGCTCCTGGTTTCATGAAAAATGATGAAAACCTTTTATTTCTGATAATCAAGTGTCTTTATGCTGTTGAGCGATGCAGAACAAAGACTCTGTGAAGCAGAAATACAAGCAAACACACAGTCCAGCCCCAGCAGCGTTAAGTGTTAGCACAGATATGAGCTATTATACAGCTATTTACATAAACTGCTCTGCAGTTCGACGTCTGTAACAATACATGACATCTCATCATTAAAAACCATAATGCATTCCTGCATCTGATAATAAAGCACCACAGTTTTTATTTTTTATTTTTGATATGTTCTGAAATGCTCACGTTTAAAGGGTCAGTTCAAGAAAAAGGCACAAATCGAAAATGTCGATGATTTTGTCGGAGATTCAGGATCAGCATAGCTGAGGATCTGACTGTAATTGTTTTGCCCTTGTTTGTGGGCAGTGAAAGAATCTGGTGTGTGGATCTGGACAAAAGGACGCATCCAGTTTTTTCTTTGTGCGGTTACATTTTTGAAAAGCGTAAGCTCGCCATTGCCTCCAATTACAGACAACAGAAATGTAGTGCTGCTTGTGTAAGCCACTCACATTAGATTCGACTTGGTGTCTCACCCAGATGATTTAACCGGCTCTCTTACCGATCACTTTAACCTCGGTTGTGCTTGGTTGCGCTAACGTTATTTGGTTGGTACCCAACCCTAATCAGTGGGTGGTGGTTGGTGGAGGATTCAGCACAAACTCACTCGACACTCACTTGATTGTGAGTTTAGAGGCATCGAGACCAACAGGACCCATCCCCATGTTAAAGATGAACAAATCACCGACTGCTCATGGAACAGGAACATAATGACACCAAACCGGTTCTAGAGGTTTTCACTGTCAAGGACGACATAAGACGTAATAGAGATATCATAGGACGAAATGAAAAGTCATTGAAACAACATTAATTGCAAATAAAATTGTCTTATATGTTTAAAATATGAATTTATAGGAATAATCATATTCCATCCAATTAGCTCATTTTCAAACCTCTGAGGCAAAGTTCTTAAAATCTCGTGCAGTGGCTGAATTCTTATGTCACATCAATTTAAACTATTTGCCTGGGCACACTGGATCAGGATAAGTGGGAGTTTTCTTGTTTATTCAGGGGGGGGGTGGTGGCGTGAACTGACCCTTTAAATTGTTCTTCTGAAAGGCACCAAGGAAACGTGTGCTGAATGTTTGAACAGCGGCCTGTGCAAATACATTTTAATCTCACTGCTCACATTAGCACAAATATACAAATGATTGCACAGATTTATGTTTCCTGATAAGATAATTACAAGAACTTTTAAAAGTCCCTGAAAGGAGCGAAGAGAAGTAGCATAGCACAGAAGAAGAAAATATGTTTTTAAAAAAAAGTATTTCTAGCACAAAGGAAGTAATTTAACATTCTTTCCTAATCGTGTGCTTCGTTACCTTTCTCTTTATTATTGCTCCTTTTGATTCTAATATGTTTTATGGGAAGTCCACTTTAAAGTTCTTTCCAGGCTGAGAGTGAAAATAGCACCAAACTTGTAAAGTCATATTTAGTTCTTCTGTCTTGGGAGAAAGTAGAATCCATGGCCAAAAAAAAACATCGAAATAATCCGACCCAGAGGTTATTGCCGATCCGCTCGTTATCTCCATGTTTTCACTGGATGCTCGGAGCCACCAGGTATCCGTTGAAGGTGATGTAAACATCCACGTCGTCGCTGTAGACGGCGTTCTCCCGCTCCCTCTTGTAGAGTCGTACCCACACCTCGTCGTTCAGCGCCAGGTCCAGCATCACGCTCTGACTCTGCATGATGGACCTCTCGCTGGGCTGCGCGTACAGGATCACCTGCTCCTTGTCGTTGTGCATCAGGTGGAGGTAGGTCTCCTTGAAGTTCCAGGTGTGGATGTTGATGTTGAAGAAGTAGATCCCTGGCACGTAGCAGTAGAACTTGCCCTTGAACATGTTGAAGTGCTCGTGCAGGTTGACGAACACCGTGTCGAACACCAGCGCCTGATAGTAGTCCACGCTGTGCAGGGACTTTCGACGTCCCACGGAGAAGGAGGAGTGAGGGATCTTGCAGGCGTCACCGGGGGAACCCGCCTGGCCTTTGCTGCCCTTAGGGCCCATGGGTCCTCGGTAACCGGAGGTGCCCTCCAGACCGGGTTTTCCAGGTGTACCTTTATCGCCTTTGTCTCCTTTGTCACCTGAGAAGAAAAGACGAAACACAGATGAGCGGTGCAGACAGAAACATCTGAGATTAATGCTTAATTTTTATTGATTATTTCCAAATAATGTCGTCGTTGCAAGATGGAAGTGTTAGTTTCTGTTAGTAGAAGAAGTGAAGACGCATCGTCTATGAAACCAGACACACGTCACCTGAAGAATTTGCTGGAAATGATTATTTGCTCGCTTCTTGTTTACAATATGTTTCCTTACAACAGCTCGACACTGTTTTTCTGTCTGGGTTTTAAATTCATATGACATGACAACATGCTCTGAAAAGGATTAATGAGCCAACATACACCCACTCAAGTGACGCTTCTTAAACTTCATCCTCATATCTCAATGAAGCAGCTGGAAATAAAAAATGCCTTTGAGCTATGAAAACATTCCCTCGACAATAAATTGAGAAACTTATTGGAATTGTTGGAGGTGACAATTTTATTTGAGGGATGACGTATTTCCAAGCATTCAGCGCTGAATAAATCTGTGTGAATCAACTATAAGCTTCAAAAATTCTAACATGGACCCAAAAGCAACTTATTTGTCAAATCTCTGTTGTTGTTTCTAGGTCGCAGTTTTGAATCCCGTTAGGCAGAACTTGAGTTAACCACAGGAGGAGGCCTGAGCGCTGCCCTCGCTCACCATTATCCACTCTTCCTGAAGACCAGAGGTAAAGATAGCTCGTCCCCCCGCCCCCCCCCCACACATCCACAGTGATCTGTCTGCCTGTGACCAGCGTCCACACAGAAACCTAAGTAGACTCAGTATTTTCCACAAACAGCAGCTCAGCTGCCACCTCTGCTCTTACGTCCTTATATGGAGCTGATCCTTCATCCTGGAGTCAAACAACAACTGCACGCATGGCTGCTTGTTAACTCTGCAGGTCTCTGCTTTGTCCTGCTCACTCTTTGTGAAACTAAAACTCAAGTATCTGCTTTTAGAGAAGTTACGTCATGGTTCCTGCATTCACCCTCAACCTGGTCTCTGCCGCTTCTAACAGAGACATGATAGAATTGACTGAAGAGACAAAATCCCTGACATTTATCATGCATTCGTAGATATGATGCATATAATGTTGCCATTGGAGGGGATACATGCATTTGTGCAAACAAGACACTGAAAAACTATAAAGTTGTCACAAATATGGGAGTTATTTGTTAGTTTTAGAACTGTTCAAATGTTTCAAGCTGGACATTATCTGTAATCGATCCCTTATAATTAACATGAGTTAAACAAAGCCAGACTTCATGTCGCCCGATTTGTATCCGTCAACAAATAAATCGGTTTTCTATTAAATAAGTATCATGATTTCTCAACTGGTGGAGGCTGAGCTCACAGTGGACACATGCATCAACGAGTAAAAAATATCAACTGGGGCTTTAAACTCTTAAGAAATAAGAGGTTTTACAACAAACACATAGAATCAACTCAACTCAAGAAAAACTACATTGGAATGAAGAGTTTAAAGAATTGCACCAGCGCATAGATTCACAGTTCACAGAGTAAAACAAAGACTCTGGAGAGGCTGCAAACAGCAACTGACTGAAATTCAATACTCATTTTCTCACTACCCACTGAGAGTGAGCCGGCAGTCCACAACAGATGGGAACCATTGACTTATGAAGCAAACTGACATCTTACATTTGTCATTAAATATCATTTGAATGGCTAGAATGAGAAATTACGTAAAACTATAATGTGCCAAACAATATTTTAAGATGACATCTGAAGGTCCCGAACAGATCTTGTCAGTACAGGTGATTATGCGATTTGTATTTTAACTGAACTTAATCAAGGCTGAATATCTTAACTCGGTGTGAGAGGAAAGTAAATCCTCTAAATGTTGATGTACAGTTTAAAACGCATCGCTGCAGAATCGTCTGACCTTGACTGAAGCTTCTGGTTTCTTTTGAGCTGGGTGAGATCTTAGATGTGATCACTGTGGCTTTGTGGGAGCAGAACCAGATGCACACAGAAGTGCTCAGACACACACACACACACACACACACACACACGCATGCAGGAACTCAGTAGCTGTTAATGTTTTCCAGTGAGTCATTGAAACACTCAGTTGAAAATGTAGTGAGGGTTTGTGTGTAACATTTGTGTTTAGCCAACTGTTTATCCTTAACTTTGTCTTTGTGCATAGTTGTGCGCCTGTGTGTGTGTTTGTATGTATGAATGCAAATCAGTGACACTGTGAACCATTTCATCATCCCATTTTGCAATGAAGCACCAGATTTAATTTTCCGAAATAACAGCCCTTCCCTGTAAAAGCATTATGTAATTCCTACATTCATAAAGTCAAAGACATGATCCCCTCACCGGCTTCTCGCCAACAATCATGGATTATATTTAAATCATTTGGTTTTCAATAAAGTTGATAACAGAGTTTTGGAGTGTTTGTCTTTTCTTCAACTTTAACATCGTCCCAACAAACAATTTTTATCTCACAGTGGAAAGTAAGTTTGGGTTAAAACCTGCAGACACGTCTGATTTGTTTCATCACAAGGTCCGTGAATTATTCTCTGAGATTTTAACAGAATGTTGAAAAACGCATCGGTTAATCTCAAAATGTAAAAGAAAGTGAGTGATCTGCGCAAGTATATTTGGTTTCTTCCATCTCATGCCACATTAGTGACAGAGTGTCAAGTTTAAACAAATTGTACATGATGTACAAATCGTCCAGCCCTAAGTTTCAGGATGTTTCCTCAGTGGATGTAATAAAGGTGGAGTTAATCCTTCTTCAAGTTTATCAGGACTTTATATGCGTTGGTCCAATTTTTTTGTCCGACAGTGCAGTGAGTTTGTGGCCCAGTGGAAAGTATTTTGTCCAGGAAATTAAAATATCTTTTGTAGAAAACTTTCAACAAAGCCTTAATTAAGTGTGTGTGTGTGTACAGAAGGATATTTCTTTTGTATGTGGTTCAGCAGTTGGACCGGGTCGGGGGTTGCTGGTGGGTCAGAACACACTTGGCATGTTCAGTTACCAAAGAACCAGCAGATTAAACAACAGAGTGATGATCATCAGATGGAAACTGGCTGCGACGTCTCTGAAAATTAAAAACATGTGTTCTCACAACTCTCCAACTCCGACTGTAGCTGTCAAAACTATTGTAAATGTAATCTCTTTTCACACTTATCTGCCTCTTTCTCTTTTCCCCGAGGTTTTAATCCAAACTTAATCCAAATAAATAATCACACAGACACGCACATCTTCACAGTCGGCAGTCCCAAACTTATCAGAAAAATTATGACTTGAACAAATTCCAGTTTGATAAGAACTAGAACCATCTTTGGGGGAAAAAAAGATTTGGACATAAGTTTGGTACATGTCCTGTCTGCTCACATGGAGGAGGTGGGGTTTATAACCTGTGCTGCCTTTGTGGCGTCTGTAAAAAGCAGTGATCTCACAGAGGAACAGACGCAATCAGCGGCTGAAGGTGATTCCTTTGTTAATTAGTACCTTTGAGGATGGTCATGTTGATGACTGTGCGGACCTCCGGCATCTGGTACTGGGCTGTGGCCGGCGACGGCTCGGGGTGGTCGCAGCACCGTCTGCAGAGTCTGGACGGAGGTCGAGAGGGGGAGGGGACACAGCAAACCAGGGGGAGGAGCAGAAGCAGCCTCATGCACAAATCTAACATGGTTGAAACAACCTGCGAGTGAGAGGAGAGAAAGGAAAGTGTAAAAAACGCTTTTCAAACTGTTGGAAACCATCTTATAATACGTGATTCATTTGATCTATCTTTGTTTTTGTGGCTCGCATATCTCGAGAACCATTCATCTCATTGGCTTCACCTTTGGCAAGTGAAACATTAGGAGCTCGAGAAAGTGCAGAGTTGAATTTGGACCAATTCTGTTCAGTGTTAATAAACTTTGAAAAGATAAGTGACCATCCGACAAGCTAGAGAAAGAAAAAGCCACGAAACCAAAACCAACATTTTTCTGTTGATTTTTTAAATTTGTGTTGTTGTATTTTATTACATTCCTGTGGAAAATTGGTCAAGTGTCAAGATGTTTCCATAATAAATATATTTGGTTTCGAGCGTTATCTCAACTCAAGAGTTTAAAACACTGACAGTAAATCTCAGGACAAAAATCCATCGTGAAAGTAGCAGAGATGCAAGTTCCTGCAGCAGCAGCTGTCTCAGTGCAACAGAGTGCAGTGCAGCCAAGACATGTTAGCCAGCTATCGTCACATTCGTTCTTAATAAGCATAAGTACATCAGATTTATTATCTGGCAGCTGTTGAAAGGTTTCTAGCAAATGTGGGAAATCCTTCATTCCACAAGTCGGATTAAGAGAAAGCTCACATTCCAAAAAAGTAAATTACAACAAACAGACTGAAACACCTCAGAATGTAATACACTTCATCTGAGGGATTTCCCCTGAGTTTCCTCTCATTTTCAACTGAAGGTCAAAGCCAGACAGTTTACACTTGTGTGTCTCGTGGGATCCAGAGGTTTCGAATAGAGCGATATAAAAAGTGTGTTTATGACCTTCCCCACTCACACACACACACACACACACACACACACACACACACACCTGGAGAGAATTGGATATAAAAAACATCAGCAGTGTTTTGATACTCTCTGAATCTCTCTCACGGATATTTAACAGTCACACACTTTTCCAAGGACGATATGTGCTGCTGATGTTCCTGTTGAATGCCTCATCTACACACACACACACACACACACTATCCCAGTGGGAAACAACTCATTGACATAATGATTTCCTTAGGAAGTTTATGAGAGCATGCACATCCTAACTCAAAAAACCAGGAAGAAAACCAGGCGATAACAAATGTCCGCTCACCAGTCGATGCTGTTTTGGGAGCTGGCCCTTCTCCAGATGTGGCTTCTCTACAGATGTCTGAAGAAGGGCCCCTGCCAGAAACTTTACTTTGGATGTAATTACAAGTTTTTGAGAGTGTCAACTGGTGTGGGGACATTTCTTGTCTTCTGATAATACTTTCTTTATCCTAACCTAACCTTAACCATCACCACATCCCTACCCTCAACCATTTGTTACCCAAATTCCAAAACCAAGACCTTGACCCTTAAAAAAACAGCCTCTACCCATGAGAGACTCAATTTAGTCCCAGTAAGTTTCCTTTAGCCTCCACCAGAAAAAACAAAACAAAACACACCCACACCCACACTTGTGTTTCAGTTACTTAGGAGGACATAACACGGGCCTAGAATAATTTCCAGGAGACTTACTCTGGCCTTAACCATAATCACTGTTTGCTTCATTTCTATAAACAGATTCTACATGTGAACCTGCAGAATCTTGTAAGATTCTTGTAAGACTAATGTCTCAAGTCTCACTTTGCCAGTCAGAAGGAACAGAAGGAGTCGTGGACCAAATTTCCACTGTTTACACTGGAAGCCCCAAAATACATTGGACATTGTCCCCAGAGGGTGATTTGTCATCAGGCGATAGCCAGGGTTTGTTATTAGCCAAATCTTGAACCACTGACCCCAAATATCAAGCCATCCTCAGTTGACTCTGTCTCCTCAGTTTGCCCATGACACAGACACACAAGCCCCAGTTTCTCTTGCCTCTCTGAATTTATTGTGCTCGTTATAAGAGTTTAAAAAGTGAGTATTACTAACAAAACAATACAAAAACACGACTTTGAGATCAACTTTTCTTGTCTTCCTCAGCTTCCTGTCATCAATCCCCACATTAAGCATCTGACTTCCAATTCCACACGTGCTAACATAAATCATCTGAGAGGCGATATGCAGTGAAGAGAAAACAAAAACAAAAGGCGGATAAGAAAGCTGAAGTTAAAAAATAAACAGCGGAGAGAGAGCTGGGAGAGATAACGGAGAGAGAGTCCCTGAAGCTTTTACAGTGATGGATGAACGTTAACACGATGTGAGATGATGGATGGAGTTTGACTCTGGGAAAATGAAACCGCTTCAGCTCTGCCTTCATGTTCCTCTCCAACTACGGATGATAGAACATTAGCATACCCAACTTCTTCACCGCCACAGTCAGAGGATATCTGTCTCCTCCATGTTGGGAGTTGTGACACGAACTAAACTCAAAAATCAAAGTAAAATATAATATATTTTTTAAGGTGGTTTCTGTCGTTGTAGATAGTTCTTATCGCACTGTTTGTTCAAGTGTTTCTGATAAATGTGATGTTTAATAGTTATTTTAATTATTTGATGTTATAATAACTAAAGACAGCTAAGACTGACGATTGGTTGATCGCCACGGCACAGAATCTACAGCTCCACATGTCCGTGTACAAGCCGTGTTAATATCCAGGATATTTGAGCTTGATTTCTGGATAGTGGGAGGAAGTGGAGATGCGTCGTCCATCTTTACTGTCTGTGTTGTGACTACGTTAGCTGATAGACCCAGAATCTGATTTATTATTTATTGACCTCCAGAATAAAAACCGGAAGAAAAATGACGTCTCCTGAGATCAGTCATAAACAGAGACACGCTAAAGACATATTTAAAAACAACAGACAAGTTTAAAAAGAAGCTGATGATACGTTTATTATAATAACTTTCAAACATTCGATGACGAAAGCCTAACAAGGCTGGACTTAGAATAGAAAAGTGCTGATGTAATTGTGCTCCCATTAGATGCAAACATTAACAGAGTCAAAACAAAGTGATCACTACACGCTGCTGAGCTCCGCTATCCTGCCAACGCACTGAGACTATTGTGAACTCTCACTGATATATATTTCATCCATTTGACACTGAGGATCGAGAACATTAAACAATAGAAATGGTTGTTTGACTCCAAAAGCCGTCCACAGCTGTAATATAATTTTCATTGGGTGTTTCAGCTTTGTCAGAAACTTAAATACATTATAAAGGGAAGGGACAGTTATACTATCTGGTGTTTCTTCCCAAAAGAACTCAAACATAAAACATCTGCTGATTCTCCACGTTATGAAACATTTGGCATGAAGCTTTTTTCCCTTATCAACTCCTAATGCAGCATGCTGACACGCGGATTTCTGTGACATCTGTCAAACATGCTTGGACACAGCGTGTTCGCTGCTTCAACACAAGGTGGATGTGCAACATAGGGCTCAGTTTGTTTGTTTCCCACACTGTCCCGCATGCACCAGGAGGAAAATAATGAAGTTGAATGTATATAGCACCTTTCAAAACACAGTTACGCTTGGCTTGTGTTGTCAAAAGACCAAAGAAGTGCAGTGTCGTATTTGGACATGCAATAAGTTCAATATTAACAAACCTATCTTTATATCGCTAAAGTTGAGTCTTCTTATATGTCCTTGGATAAACTGCAGCAGCGTTTGGTAACTGGCGGATCTCGGGCCAAAATTTCTACCAGATCATTTTTAAACTTGATCATTTTTATTTCCCCATATCAAACTGATCTCTGCCAACAACATTCATAGAACCACTTCCTCTTTAGCAATTTGTCTACAAAGTAAAAGCACAATGTTTGTTCTGTTGTTCTAATGCTTTATATGCAGCTACATTACAGAGCTTTTATTGTGAGAAGTTGTGAACTTGGGATCTGATGCAGGGTTCGTCACGGGTGGTCTCATGCACGGTGAGAGGATCTAAAACTGTATCTGGCAAAGATTTGGACCGTTGGGCATTGGTGGGGGTGTAGGTAGATTATCAGACTCATTGAAACATTGACTTTAAAATCTTCACTTCAGATAAACCGGGTAGGATGAACACAAAGTTTTCTAACTTCACTCTGCAACACTGACTGTTTCTAAAAGTCTCTGCACACACACAATACAAAGTGACAGTGTGTTGTTGAGGTGTTTGAGGACGACTCAATAATTCTGAAGTCGCAGCATATCATAGAAGCATCGTTCTCACAATTATAATATTATTCACAATATGGGAAGAAGAAATGAAACAGATCGTTAAGAGCATTTCATCGGGCTAATATCTCCAGATATCTCTGTCTGGATGTGGCTCACATCTGGAAAACTCTACATCTTCCCCTCCACACTTCTCAGGTGTGTTGTAGCACAATATGTTCAATAGTACCAATGTTAACCAACTGCAGTGTAACTACTAACTGTTCATTTTACTGGAGGTTAAATTCATTTTCACCACATCAACCAACCCCCACAAACCTCAGCAACAAGCACAATCTGCAGCATGATCCTGATGACAACACGCCGACAATGAACTGAACACACGCACACACACACACACGCACACACACACACACGTGCAACAGTCATAATGAAATCATTGAGGGAGCCACGTCTACAACAGAGCCAGAGCATCAGATTGGCACGCGCCTGCAGTCCGCATAAACAACGCGCGCACTACTGAAAACACACAACATGCACACACACAACACAGCACACACGTACACAAACGATACGTGCACGAAACCCCAAGCACATGCACACACACACACACACACACACAGCTGCTGCAGCTGCTGCTGAGTTGGCGACTTGTGAATAACTTCTTGAATCCTGCACGTCTGTGCACGCACGCAAACGCGCCGCCGGGTGTTTCCTCTTCTTCTTCTCCTTCTTCTTCTTCTTCTTCTTCTCCTCCTCCCTCTCTTTCTATTCCCTTCTTTCCTCGGGGGGGTTTATTCTCATGCAGCGCAGTGAGACAAGTTGTCGTAAAGTCGCTGTCACAGGGTCGCAGTGTGTGGAGACTTCTTACCTGCTGGAGTCTCTGCAGCGGAGGAAGAGGAGGACAGACTGAGGGTGTCAGACTCAGAGGAGGAACTAAACCTCTCTCTCTCTCTCTCTCTCTCTCTCTATCCCTCTCTTCCATACACTCACTCACTCCCTCCCTCTCTGTCTTTACACACACACACACACACACACACCAAAAAGTTGGACTTTCTCCCCATACTCCCTCCATAATGTCCTTCATCTTCACAATCACTACCTGTTTTCTCCTCTTGTCTCTTTTCCTCCTCCATCCATCCATCCTTCCCCAAACTCCACATCCATCACTGCTCCTGCAGAGTCCAGACTAATGGGAGTTTTATTTCATCCTATCACAGACAGAAGTTTCCTCTCTCTGACCCTTTTCTTCTTCTTCTTCTTTAATCAGCCATATATTTTTCACTTCTGCACATTATACGTCACCTCCCATAAACCCCCAGTAAAGTCCTTAAATCACACCGTGCTGCACGTCTTCCTTTATATCCGTCATCTGCATAAACCTGTCATCTTCTCCTCACTCCTCTCATCCTCTCTGGCTGTATAGAAACATCTTATTGCAGTGAGAAGAATGAAAAAGAAAAAAGACACATCTGCTTGTTAAAGTTAATGTTTTACACGCTCCACATAAATGTCTCATCTGTAAATACAGGGTAACATCACTCGGACTTGTGAATGCTCCTCAGCAGATGTTACTGCGGTGAATTCAGCAAACAGGGATCTGACGCAGGGGTGTCACGGGTGGTCTCGTGCACGGTGAGAGGATCTAAAAGTGTAAAGATTTGGACCGTTGGGCATTGGTAGAGGATTACGTTTTAACAGCAATGATAAGATAAGATAAGTCAGGACAAGATAACATAAGATAAGTAAGAATCAGATAAGGAAGAGAAGAGAATCAAAAAAAAAAGACCATAGAATAAATAAAAACTACAGAATATATACATAATATACAGCTTTCACAACCGAAGTTGTTAGTACAGAAATATACTTGAGTAAAGTGCAGCGGCACAGGATGATTGTACAAGTAGAAAACTGAACAGTACATTTTATATAGTACGACTCGTTGAAAGGTAATCTGGGAAATGTTCGGTTAAATAAACCACAGTAGAGAAGAATCGTCAGTAAAGTCAAATCCCCCAGGTAATACAGAACTTTAAAACATGAACTGAGGGGGGATTTCCCTTTGACAAGCAGACCTCTGTGATCTGGATCAAAGTCACTCGCTCCCTCAGCGGCCGGGCCCGGAGCCAGCTCGTGCTCATCACTCGTTGGTTTAAACCCACGAGGAAGAGAGGCTGTGATGGTTGAAAGTGTCCGATGAAGATTATTTGTTCCCAGCTGCACTTTAGCTGCCTCGGTAAATTCCTGCAACATGTTTCAGTCTGGGGTCGTTAATAAATTACTGGAAACACAATCCAACAAATGGACTCAGGGATGATTTCATGAGTTGACCTGACCATGTTACTGTCGTCGTCTTATCTCTTTTCTTTGGTTTAACTCTCTGTATCTGCGCATATATTTTCAGCGATCTCTTTTTGCGCTGCTTTTAAATCCCTCCCTGTCCTCGGTCTCCGTTACCTTGGCTGCCCTCCTCTCACTCAGGGCTGCGTCCTGGTCGTGTTCTGTTTCCTGTCGGCTCGCTCTGCACGGCGAGGCAGCCGTACGCCACAGAAGTGAAATGACAAAGTGGAGCAAACACACAAAGAATAAAAATGAAGTCTCTATGTGAGGTAAAGGAGCTTGTATTTCTGTGGTGAGGACAAAATGTTCTGACAGATTAGTCTGTGAGAAGCTGCCCCGAGGCCCCATAGTCATCAAGACTCCTACAAGTTCTGTAAATTACCTCTGCACGGATGCAGGGACGCAGCAATCTAGCTGTTTTCAGACATGCACTGAACGCAAGATTTTCTCCTGAAATGCTCCAGAGGGGCTGCATGTGAGAAGGCATCTGTCTGAGTCAGTAGATTCGGATATAGATTTTTTCCTGCAAGCACCTTAGTAAGAAGTGCGGAGAAAGTACGACTGAGCCCAGAGAATTCACTGCAAGCGAGTAAATTTTAGAAATGTCATCAACGCGCCCACTTGCTCAACACTGCCCCAGAACTAATATGTCAGGATGAAACAGAGGAACCGTACACGCAGAAAAAGCCAACGAAGACTTTGAGTTGGGGCGATGACGAGATTTGGGAGCTTTTGATGATAATGGTCGATGCCAGTGTTGATAAACAAAGCGACGCAATTTCAAACAACAGATGCAGATTAATTGGACTCCATGCACGGACCATGTGAACTTTTCTGAAACGGAGAATCTACTCCTGCGTTCTTGGCAGACTCATGTCTAGATCCTGTTTTTCAGACATTGTCCGGTTTCGTGTATGAAAATGTTTTATGACTGACCTATGCAACGAATATATTGACTTGTGACCTGTGTGTTGGTCTGTGAGTGCAGCAGAAATAGCAGCAGTTTGCATTCCTCTATTCCCTTAAATAAAATAAAAGCCCTGTCTTAACAGGATTTTGCTGTATTTGCTCATCATCAGTCACTAAATGCAAAACAGCAGCTGCAACCTCAGTAAAATTTTAAGTGTTCACCTTCATGGAGACATCGTTCTTCTGTTTGCTTTGCTCAGCACACAAGTTCAAGAGTTCAACACCTGATTTGTGCCAAACAGGAAGCTTGATTGCAGAAAGAAGTAAAACAAAAAAAACTAGATAAATCAAACACTTCATGTAAAGTGCAAAGTGAGGGCATGGAGTTTCTTTTAGATTTTAACAGTTTGTTTGAGTTTGTGGTTGCCTGAAGCTGAGATGTTCAGGGAGTGGCTCGTGTTTTTACCACAAAAGGTGACCAGGGAGACACAGTGTTCTTCTGAAATACACAGTTTTTGATTCAGTCACTCTCATGCTTGAGCTGCAGGACACTGAGCAGCTGCACTGGTGCAGAAAAAGACATTCATCAAAGTAGAATATGTTGTAACTGGAATCTTCAACCCGGCAGGAATGATAATCTCAATTTTCTGTTATTAAAGATGCATTAAATCAAATGTAGACATTTTGACATTTTTATATTTCTTATAGTGAAAAAAATTATTGAACCATGAGCTGTTTCTAAGTTCAGGGTGGCATTCTTCAGAGGCTTCATCTGAAGACGTCACAGCAGAGCGACCATTTCCAAAGGCTCCTTCATTATCTGGCCGACAAATGCGTCTTCTCATCCCTGAGAAACTAAGTCTCTGAGGCTGGACCCTCTCTGGCCCAACCTATCCCAGGATTCATTGCAGTTCAGTGACGAACCACTTTTCCGAAAAGGAAATGGGGCCAGCGAGCGACAAGACGTTCCAATACTTGAGAGTCACGTTTCAACTCAACCGAACGGCTAACAGTACACATGTTCAAAAGCCAGGGGGTATTAAAACTTTCTCATTGTGCTCAACTTCAGCTCTGTTACTAGGCAACAGCAATAAGGCTGGGACGAACTGGTGAAGCTGCCATCTTGCACTTTTGGAGCAAGAGTCCTTGCAGCAGTGATTGTGGAGATTGTGAACACTTTTCACTGAATTCTGATATTAATTAGGAAGATTCACGTCAGGAACTCAGAAGTTTCTCTGTGAATTTTAAAGATTTTTGCTTGTAAAGATTTTTAGACTTTTTATTTCATGCTACGATTCCTCTGAGGAAGATTCAGAATGACAGGAGATGGGAACACATCAGAAAGACGAGAACACAGTGCGGAGTGCATTTGTTAAAAGCAGCTCAGGGCTGTTCGTCAGGGGGAAGGCAGACAGGTATCACTCACTCCATCTTTGTCCTGATTCAACCAGGACGCCTGTGATCTTCAAAGCAGATCAGTACAGAACATATTCCAAACGCAAAACGACTGTTTGGCATGAACTGCACTTCAGTTTCCTTTACGTCTGCAATCAGAGTTCCCTGCTTCCTGCAGCCTCCATATGTTCTAGGTTAATCCACTCTCTCTCCAAGGCTCCGTTCTCATTCCTCTTGGCTCCCAGTGTATGAATGCATGTCATCAACAGCAGGCCAAGCAGCACCAGAGTCCTGCAGGACTTGGCTGCAGATGTGAATTTCATGTCTTCGCTCATCTGATGTGGAGATTGTTGAAGTCTTCAGTTCATGGAGAGAAGGGGAGGCTTTACAGAGAGAGGAGAAGTCTTCCGAATAGTATTCTGTAAAGTGAGGTTTTGAGGTTTTCCTTCCACATTTCATCAGTGTTGCATGAATGTAAAACTTTTGCAAAACTGCCAGTCTCTCTGTTGCACCGTGTCGTCTCTCAGCTCAGTGTGAAGAAGAGACACATGGTGGAAAGGCCAGGGAGTGTGTGTGTGTGTGTGTGTGTGTGTGTGTGTGTGTGTGTGTGTGTGTGTGTGTGTGTGTAATGAATACAAGTCAGAAGTACTTTCTGCAGTTTCTCTCTCTCTCACTTTGAAACGTCTGTCTTTAATATCTGTGTGTGAGAGTGTGTGCATGAGAGCAGTAAGCCAGTTAAAAGCTACCTCTGTGAACTTGAAAGCCAATTACTGAGGAGCAGTGCATGTGAAAGAGTTCTGTAGTTACAGGACAAACATAAATACAAACACACACACATAGAAATACCTGTAGTTTTCTGTAAATCTCTCATGCAGCATCAGTACATGAAAATATAAAGTGTTGACTATGTTTGATTTGTGCAACCTGCACTTTCTCCTGATATAGCTACAGGACAAGAAACTTAAGAATTACCGCTAAATAATATCCCTTAAAATCACACCTTATATACCTTTATCTAACATCTGTGGGTCCTATCTAGAGAGGAGCTAGTTTTAGACCAATGCAGTTGTAATTTTCGACCAACACTTCAAACTGATTTTCAATTAACTTCACACCATTAAAGAACAGATTGTAAATTTAGATTACACCTTGCCCAGAGCAAAAAAAGACCCACCTTTGTTTTGGGATGCTTGGGCCACCGTTGCTATTTGACGACTGAACCACATTAGGCTCACATCTATTTCATTTGAGCTACAAGAAGGTCAGGAGTTTTGCATCATTGCCTG